AGTACTATATATGTATATGTAGAACAGCGTGTACAAATATGGTCTGTGGAGGGCAGTTCTGTGTTCATAATGGAGCAGTTCTCTCTCTGTTTTTAAATATAAATTGAATATCAGCTGTGTGGCATGGCGCGGCAACTGCGGACAGGCAGGTGCTCATTAGCGGTCAGCGGCGAAAGTGCTGCTGCAAGAGTGCTGCTGCAGCCTACTTTTTGGGGCATTATGTCTGGCAAATGTTAATTGCAATTTAGACTGTAGCAATAATTTTATGCATATTTATTTCAGCTTCCTCCTGTATCGCAGAATGTTTGCAGTCAATGAATATGGGGTGGGGGGAGGATCCAGGGATTCCCACTCCAGTTTCCGATACCCCATCTTCCTTCCCCGGCCAAACGGCTTAATTTTTTTCGAGGTTTTGCGCAACCCCGCCGCATTGAAGTAATCACATAAATCACGCAGCGCTGCAGAGTGAGAGGTAGGGGGGGGATCCAAAAATCGAAATCTCGAATCGTGAGCGGGGCTGTAAAAGCGTCGCCGGCGCCCATTATGACTCGCAGATAAAACCCTCCGCCAGATGCATAGAAATAAAAAGCGAGTAACTGTGGCAGAAGCACTCACTGTCTGCTTTATTAAGCATAATGCGGCCATAAAGCCGTTCGAGCCAATCGAGCCAGTCGGTCCGGTCGGCGAAGAGGCAGGGCAGGATGCAGGGCTTCAGAGAGGTGGAGGTGAAGGAGATTGGCTGGCAGATTGGGGGGCAGATGAGTACTCTGTGCCCTGAGTACTTGCAGCAAAAGGATTACGCCAAGGTATGGACAGGCAGGCAGTCCATGATTGATGGGGCATTGCGGCTAATTCTTGGCGTTGCCTTTGTCTCGCCGCCTGCGGCGTCTCTCAATAAGCTGTAAATCATGCTCATATCCCTGCCCCTGCCACAGCTCCTGCCTCTGTTGCGTGCCAAGTCATAAATACCCCCCAACTGCACGGCCTCCTCTGGGGAGACTCTTTCTAAAGCGGCATGCAGCTTTTTTAATTAAGGCACAAGGATAGCCGTAAAGAGAAAAAAGCGCAGCAAAAGGAGCAGCCATCCACGGGGCAACGATTCAACGATTAGGAGATACCCTAACGGTGGCTACCAGAAGGCTAATCCTGACAGACTCTGCACTAAAGCTGTGCTATCCCGCTGGGGTACTGGAGGCACTATCAAATATCAACAGCAGAACGTAAAGAGAAAGACAAATGCCAAGGCGCGAAATGTTTGACAAGTGCGTCGGACTGCGTCACCCCGCCGTCATCCATCAAAGTGAAAGCCCGGGGAATGTAGAATGTAGAATGGGGGGTAAATTGAAATGGCAGGCACTGCAATTATCGCGTCAGCTGCCTTCTGCCCCCCGCCTTCTGCCCCCATCGGCTGGCCATTTCCCGCTAGATTAGGCCCGCTGACAATACAAAACTGAATTAGCACCACGGGGTCGCACTTTTATAGGACAATTCGAGTGCCCATGGCCCATTATCCGTTCCATCGAGAGTCTGCCTGCCAGTCATGCATCATTCGAAGCTGCAGCCTGTAATTTTTGCAACATTTTTCGGGGCGAGAAACCGAACTCCACCACACTCGAATAGACTCATCTTCTCGTCATGGAGCTAGATTTATTAACTTTTGGGGTCCGGGGTCTCTTCCTGGCAATATTGTAAATCATTTCCAAATTATTTAGTCGCTATCCATTCATACACATATATATATTCATATTTTTGGCGCCTTTACTCTGTTCCTTCGGAGCTCTGTTGCGCCGTGGCTCTGTGAAACGGGCCTCGAATGTGCCACGTGATTGCATTAAATTACAAGTCATTGTCTGTCCCTGCCCCTTCCCCTTCCCTGCCGCAAGTGCTCCCCGAGATAAGAAGCAGTGAAACAGGATGAACCCAAACGGAATTTTAATCCATTTGATGACCCACTAATTCAGTACACCCTTCCATTGAACCAGCTGACATATGTCGTTTTCGCATGCCAGCCAGCGCCAATAGGTGGCGTACCAGCGTACAAGGATCGCCTTGCCTCTCTCCTTGGCGCACATTTAATGGCAGTTCTGTTGTAGCATGTAATTTAATATTCATTATATGTAGGTATATGCTGCCATTATGATTGCATGATCTGTCAATATGCCCAATTGCCAGGCCCATGCCCCACCTCAATCTGACCCGCAGGAGTCAAGCTCCAGGTGCAGTAGGAGCCGAGTTTTCCTTTGGCCTTTCGGGCGATAAAAGCGAAGCGAAAAGTGCCGCTATCTATTAATATCGCTTTTGGCTTTTTGCTGGCGGGGTGAAAGGGGGATAAACGGGTTGAATGGGAAACGCTGAAAACTCCTAACAAACGACACCTGCACGGAGCGAACGAAGTTGCCATGTCCTGCTCCTGCAATACCCTGCCCCCCGAGTATGCCCCTGGCGTGTAGCGTGTGTCCCGCTTCTTCTTTCTGTTTGCATTGGTTGCCCCATTCTTTTTTGCGATACACTGAATTTGCTGTCGTTGCCGCTGCCCCAACGCTGCCTCTGCCGCTGGCTGTGCCGCTGCCTGCGCTGCTGTTGCTGCTGATGTTGCACGAATGTTGTAAATCAAAAGTAGGCGAGTCACACGAAGGCTCTTCCTCTAGCGGCAGCCGCTACTGCGCCTATTGACTGGCAGGCCGAGCGGATAACGCTGGCAATTATCGCGCTTGTGTTGCACGAACGGCGGAAGCGGCAGAGGCGCCACATCATGTTACCCTTGGCCCCACACCCTCACCCTTCCTATCCACATCCCACCCATGTTTGCCGGCATCCTCTTTGCAGCTCTCTGCTTTCTTTTCAGCCTTTTTACTGCCTTTTTCTTTGTGCAATCCAATTGGCAGCGAACAAAGCAAAACAAGTTGCACGTTGCTGTGCCTCCTGCTACAAGTCCCCAAAAAATATGGCGAAACGAGTACCATCTTCCCCTACCGTGCCACCCGTTCCTACTCCACCATCCGGTCAGTCAGCCATTGAAGTCATTTATTGCCACCAGAAGTTTCGTTTGGCTTTTTGTTGTTGCTTCAAACTGTAGTTGCTCCAGTGGTGGTTGACCAAGAGCTGGAGCTGAAGCTCGTGCTGGGGATCGGGCTCGGACCGTTCCGTTCCGTGTGCAGGATGTGTTTACAATTTGTGGACACGCCGACCGCCATTTGATTGTTCCCTTCGCGCTGCCGCTATTCCTGGGCCCCCCCCCCCGCACCCAACACCCGATTCCTCCGTTAATTCGCCAGGTGGCCCGAAACTGCGCATTGCTTTGATGATTGAGGAACCCCGGCCATCCCCAGCATTTCATGGCCCTTCGGCATACCCCACTCGTTTGTTTGCTCAGGAACGGCACGGAAGATGACGTGCCTTGGATTGGCCATAAATGAGACTGACTAAAGCAAACATGCCACATAGGAGCGAAAACGAGTCCCAGAAGACAGGAGGAAACGCCTTTTTTATCTAATTCGTTTGAGTTTTCCTAAAATTTTCGAAGCTTGACAATTTTTACACACGTACGTAGAAAACAACCAATGACTACACATTAACTACATGTACAGCCCCACTAGCGCCAGAGTGTGCGTAGAACTTAAAATCCAAATTTTAATGTCAAAAATATTAGAATTAAGCGATTCAGAAACATACACACACGTTAACTAGTCTGTTCATTTAATTTAAACACAAAATTTCAATGCGACCGGCCGATATTCTCCGTATTTTACTGTTTTTCGCGATGCGCTTCGCGTTCAACTTTTTCCTACTCTACCGCCGAAAAAACGCCGCCCAAAACCAAAATGGCGCTAACTGAAGTTGGTATATCGCCATCTAGGGCATAATTTAGAAATGCAATTATCTACTGCCACCACCAGCGATCAACTGTTGCGATATATCGAAGCACTGCCATCTCAATTGCGGAACAAGTAAGCTGCAGAAATATATAAAAATTTAATGTTAGCACAAACGACAATGTGGGAGCCGCCTCGAATACCTTTTTTGAATTCTCGCTATTTCAAATCGTGCTTCCGTGCATCATTTATTCCAATGGATTGCATCTAAATACTTGACGCGCATTCAGATTCAAACAATTTTTATTTGGCGCTCAAGTTTGGTGGGACTTTTTTGGGATTTTTTCTGATGGGATTTTTCCGCTCCACAATGTCTTTACATTCCATACTCACTTACGTTTTCTTATGTTGCTGGCAACATTAAATTTGAATGGGCCAGACTCATGTGCCGAGAAATCTAGAAGCACTGGGCAACATTTTGCATACCCTGGGGAAATGGATGATCTAGAATTGAGAATATGTTTGTCATCCATTGCACCAATAAAGGCCAAAACTAGTCAGTCTCTGTTTTAAAGGTATTTCAACGAAATTTGGAAGGTCACTACCTTCTTACAGAAACCAAGAATGGGAATCGGGATCGAGATATATTTACAAGACCCTAACCATATGCATGATATGTCTAAAACATATCAATTTGAGATATTTTCTTTATTAATTACGTTTTAAAACAGCTTTGAAAAAAGTTTCTTCATATAATATTAACGAAATAGGGTACACCTGTTCCCAAACTCCGGTTGACGTGATATTTCATACTCACTTAGGTTGCCACTGTTTTTTTGTTTACCTTTTTTGTTTAAACCTTGATGTAGTCAAAATACAATAAAAAAGAGTACATTAAAATATCCAATCTTGTAGAGAATTTATTCATCAATGGCCTAAAATGATATGGGCAAAGCTAAAGATTTTAGTTAGTCAGCATAATTAAACGGAATATAAAAATGAAGGAATAGGAACGATTTTTCTCTTACTTTTTATTACGTTATTACGTTTTATTTAGTTTAACCTTTTTCGCTAAAACCTTTTTTCAGACAAAATCCAATAAAAGCAAGTATTAAGAATAAGCCATTTTGATAAAAAATTGATTCATTAATCGGATAAAATTATGTGGGCATGGCTAAATGTTCTATATAGCTAGTAATATTCGACGGAAGATCATAATTGCGCAATATGGTTTGCAATCCTTGACTGAGGACGATTAACCTATTATAAGCCAAGGGGGTACTTCAATTTTCCACCGAAAGTAATGAAAATTTAATAATGTTAGCGCAGTTCAGGGAAAAAATATAGTGTTTTTTTTTAAGTCCAGAGGGAAAATGGCATGGATCTACAAGAAAAATGTACAATCGTTAATATTTTCCGCTATTTACCTGAAGTAGTAAACATAGGGGGCTTAAGTGGGCTATACATTGTTTTTGACTATATTGTTGTGGAGGCAAAAAAACAACAAAGCTGCAGAATGGAATGTGCAATTTGCGCGCAAGCCCCAAGGAAATACAAATGCAACAAGTGTATGGCTCCCTAGTAAGTAACTATCTAGCTGTAGTTCTTCAGTTTGATCAAATTGTGTATCCGCAGCTGTTCAGTGAAGTGCTACAAGGTTCACGTGGACTCTATGGAGTGTACGACAGCTCAACAAGCAGCGTCTTTGAAAAACGAAGACTCACAGAACATTGTCGAGGAAGAACCCACACTGCATGCCCCCTTCCCCAGCGATGACACTGTGCCGCCAGAGAAGCTGCAGGAGCTAAGTGAGTCGCGCAACGCATCCGACTATCATTTCCGCTAACATTTTCCTTTCCGCAGATACCTGCGGGCCCCTACGCCAGCTGCTCAACAATCCCCACCTACGGGGTTTGCTCAAACAGATCGACGTGGCGCACAACGTTCATTTGGCCATGACAGCGGCCATGCACGAGCCGCTCTTCCTCGAGTTCGCTGACGCGTGCATGCAGGTCGTGGAGCCCATGTCTCTAGCGGAGCGTAACGAATACGAACTATGCTCTTAAAATTTCAAGTGATTTCGTGTCTGTGTAATTAATAAATCTTTATGTAATGTTAATACATCCGTATATTTGTGGCTAATGTGTGCTATAAACAAGATACATCCCATGAAAGCATGGATCCGAGATCTATGTAGTTGCAGGAATACAAGTGGATTAAGTGGATACAGTCGGGATATACTTAAAGATATAGATATTTTCTATCTATATTGCAAATAGTTTTAAAATCACTTTGGCCAATGTTTTGGCAAGCTAAAGCTTCGTTTCCTAAATAATGACCTCTATAGCTCAATGTGTGCCTGCCCGGTCTGGCTGGAAATGTACACATTTAGATGCTTAGGCACGGGTACCCTGTCCAACTCCTTTGCGAGGGCAAAGTACCGCCAGCGCAGAATATGGGCAACCTCCTTCGGCTGTCGGGCACGCGTAAAGACGCCCTTTTTATTACCACCCACTCGGGTGTAGGCTGAAAGAGAAAAGGGAGAGCATAAGAGATCTTGAGATGCTCGAGAATAGGCTCCTATGGCACCCACTCTGGGCCGTCTTGAAGTCGGCAAAGTTCCACACAAACTCCCCGATGAACCACTTCTGCTTTCGCAGCTTGTCAAAAGCCTTAAAGTGCTGGGAGAAAAGTGCCACTTGATAGTCCTCGGACCAGATGTAGGCTGGGAGCTGCAAGGGATCAATCAGAGCATATTAAAATAATTCTGGAGTCATTTTCCTACCGAGTGTAGGCCCTCCATGGTGTCGGCACCGTATTCGAAGAGGATCACGGGCTTCCCGAAGTTCTGGTGCCAGCGCTGGGCCTCCTCTGTCAGCAGATTGACGATCATGTCCGTGCGTCCCGAGTTCTGGTACCAAGCGTTGTATCGATTGAATCCGACGATGTCCAGGAAAGGAGCCAGGTGGCACTGCTTGGGTGGATCGGGGCTGGCATTTATAGCTGCCGTTAGAGGTCGTCCGTGGGCTATACTCCTAGTGTAATTTACCAGGGCCCTGGGTCGACAGATACCGATTAACCCTGCTCTACAAAGGCGATGCCACTTACTGGAAGTAGCCGAGGGCCCCCATCTTGAAGGAGCGCGGTTCGTTGGCCACCGACCAGGCGATGACACTAGCGTGGTTGCGGTCCCTGTGGATGAGCTGTTCCAGCGCGGACATGTGATTGCTCAGCAGTTCCGGCTCGAAAAGGTCTATGTTGACGGCGGAGCATTCGTCTATGACCATGATCCCATGCTCGTCCGCGAACTGCATCGATTCTTCCGAGTAGGGGTAATGCGAGGTTCGGTAGGCGTTGGCCCCTACCCACTTGATTAGGTTAATGTCCCGAGCGAGGAGTGCATTGTCCAGACCCTTGCCCCGAATCTGCAAAATGCAAATTAGATTGAAAGGATAGACATGGGTGATAATGTGACTCACATCAGAATCCTCGTGACGGCCAAATCCTCGGAGGTACAGAGGTTTCTCATTCAGGAGCAGGCTCGTAGTCGTCCAGCTAAGGGTGCGGATACCCACGGGCAGTCTGTAGGCGTCTAGAAGCTCCTTCCCATCATCGCCGTCGTTCCTGGACATGAATAGTTCGAACTCCAGACTGTAGAGGTATCCTGGGTCGGGGTGCATAAGGTAGGGCCACCAGAGTTTCGGGCCTGGCACCAGGAGAGTTCCATTGTAGACAGCGCGGTTGAATTGCTGGGCCGCTACAACTCCATCCCTATCCCGCAGCTGAACGAGAACATGCGTTGGCTGCACCGTAGAATCTTCCGTGGTTCCATCTAACCAAATGCGGTAGTCAATGCGTCCCACTTGGTCGGAGGATAGCTGCGTGCTGATGGCAATATCGCTAATGTGAACCACGGGTGTAGTGTAAAGGTGGACGGAGCGGTGTATTCCGGCGTAGTTGAAGAAGTCGAAGGTATAGCTCTGGATAGGAGTCTCGCCATTATCCGTCTTCACTGTAGATACCTGCCCCTGGGGAACAGTGCGGTTGGTCAGGCGGTTGTTGCACATAACCGTGATCCGATTCTCGCCACCAAAATTCAGGAGGTTGGTGATCTCCGCCTCAAATGGCAGATGCCCAATGCTGTGGCGCATGGCATTTCTCCCGTTGATCCACACGACCGCCGCATAGTGGACACTGCCGAAACGCAACCAGGTTCGGCGTTTTTCTATCCAGTAGCGGGGTACGAAGAAAGTTCGTTCGTACCAGACGGTGCCGACGTGGTCGCGCAGGTTATTGTCCGTGGTTATGTCGTTGTAGGAGGCCGGGACTGGCATGGGGATAATCTCCTGACCAGTCTTCTGCAGACTGTTCTCGTACCACTTCTCCCGAATCCCCTGGAGCGGATCATTAGGTTGGCTCATAAGCAGGCGCCACATTCCGTCCAGGCTGCGCACCTCCCGCGTCTCCGATTCGCGTGGATACAGCAATCCAGTGGTGGCGATGGGCGCTGTCCAATTTTCGTGCAGAAACACTGGGTGCAGCTCCATCCCATCGTGTTCGTTGTTTTCTCCGTGGCCAGTGACAGCCAGGACCAGGAGAAGGCCGAACAGAAGCCACATCGAAGGCCAAGCTTGCCCTTGCATGATAGGTTGTCCAGCTGGAAAAACTCTCTTTGTTTCAATTGATATTAGTTTTTAGTTATTGTATTTTGGCTAGATTTTGTTGTCAACCGGTTATTACGACGAATTTCTTGTTTTTGATCTTCCATCAAATATTACTAGCTATCTAGATCTTTCAGCCCTACCCACATAATTTTATCCAATTAATGAACCTATTTTCTACTTGACTGATTCATTTTAAATACTTGACTTTGAACGTTTTTGCGTCAATTTCAGTTCCTCAATAGCAATATAGCTTCTCGTATGATGAAAAATCGAGCTTAGCCCACTTAAGCCCCCTATATTTAAATAGTTGAACTGCTTGAATTAGTAATGAGGTTTGTAATATAAAGTAGTATAATACTACTTGTAAAACTTGTAAATCCATCCTATACCAAATACCCCACGATATCTTTCACCTAAGCTGAGACAGAATTATTAAAATTTCATAATTCTTGTGGATTGTATTTTAACACACATAGATAACTTTAAAATATTTTATTTTATTATGAAAATGAAGAAATATTTCAAATCGCTACTAGCAGCTCCTTGTCGGGTACGATCTCCTCGACATTCATATTATCATCTGAGCTTTGAGGAGCTTTGAGCTTTTTAAGGATTAAATTAAATAAAAATGGAAGAAAAAAACTGCAATACCCTCATAATTTCCAATCCCTATTTTTAAAAACTATGACAGCAAGCCATTTGTGTATTAGACAAAAAAACCATAACGCACTTTATTTTTAATTTAGTTTAGCTTAACAGTACCTATAAAAGTACAATGCACTAAAACTATAAATTTTAGATTGTAAAATTCAATACAACGGAATGAAAAATGCAACGATGGCAGATCAAGGATCACACGTATTAAAATATATTTACAGTAGCCAAGTGTCCGGCTACTACGTATTCTCCTCTACCTTGCCCATGTCGGCGATGTAGGTAAAGAGATCTTCCGGGAAGCTGGAATCGTCTAGTTCCCGGGCAAGGGCAAAGTATCGCTTGCGCAGCAGGTGAGCCGAGGCTTTCGGCTGTCGGGCACGAGTGAAGACTCCCTTCTTATTGCCGCCTACGCGGGTGTAGCCTGAAAGGATATGGAAACAGCTTCAGTCATGATGCAGTTTATTAGAGAAAACGATGACACCCACTCTGGGCCGTCTTGAAGTCGGCAAAGTTCCATACAAACTCGCCGATGAACCAGCCCTTCTTCCGCAGGATATCGAACGCCTTGAAGTGACGTGCGAATACCTCTGTCTGAAACTCCTCTGACCAGACGTAAGCCGGTTGCTGCAGGCGAGAGAGGGAAATGAAAAACAATAGTCCCAGCGAAGATGCCCCACAAATTACCAGGTGCAGTCCTTCCAGGGTATCGGCGCCGTACTCCGCCATGATTACGGGTTTGTTGTAGTGTTTGTTCCAAGCAACGGCCTCCTCAACCACCTTCTTCGTGACCATGTCCAGCCGACCTGTGTTGGAGTACCACGCATTGTAGCGATTGAAACTGATTATATCCAAAAAGCGTCCCTGCAAAGAAAGCTCTGTTACACGGATCAAGGGGAATCCGGAGGGCCCTATACATACCGCCTTGTCATCGGTCCAGGGAGTGGCAATGGCGGCCGTGATTGGCCGTGTCTTGTCGAGGGACCGTGTCAGGTTGGCAACAAGTCTGTGAAGATACAAAATTAAGCAATCGGGCGGAGAAGACCCAGTGAGTCACCCACTGGAAGTACGAATCCGCATTCATTTCGCGGGTGCGCGGCTCGTTGGCTATGGACCACATGACCACGCTGGGATGGTTGCGGTCTCGGTGGATGAGCTGCTCCAGCGACGATTTGTGTTTGCCCAGCAACTCCTGGTTGTAGTTCCTGAAAGGCGAGAGCAATCACAATTACACTCTGCCTTTGCAGGGAACTCATCACACAACAGACTCACTCCGCATCGACGCTAGGACACTCGTCAACAATCATGATCCCGTGTTCGTCCGCAAACTGCATCGACTCCTCAGAGTAGGGGTAGTGCGAGGTACGGTAGGCATTGGCACCGATCCACTTAAGCAGATTGAAGTCCCGCACCATCAGGGCATTGTCCAGGCCCTTGCCTCGGACATCGGCATCCTCGTGTCGACCGAAGCCGCGGAAGTAGACCGGCCTGCCATTGATCTGGAATGTAGCGTTGCTCCAGCTGAGGGTACGAACGCCCACCTTCAAGCGATAGACGTCGAGTAGATCATCGTTGGAGGCGTGTAGCTTTACCTCCAACTGGTAGAGATAGCCCGGTTCCGGGTGCATGAGGTACGGCCACCATGGGTTCACATTGTCCACCTGCAGACTTCCACAAAGCTCCTCATCCGAGGTGCCATTGGCCACCAACTTGCCCTCCCGGTCGTACAGCTGGGCTCGTACGTACAGGGAATTGTCTGCTTCGTTGACGGCGCTTCCATTAAATTTGACGCTATAGATGA